TATAAGTAGGGTCATAAGTAGGATAGCTATAGATATGACCCATATTAGGGGACTTGTAACCCCACTTATCACTACCCATGAACCTCCAAGTAGGAACCTTGACGGAGCTCACATATTGTACTACACCATGCTACAGGTGGCTTCTGAATGTAAGCTTTGAGGCCACTGGAAGGGCCGTCGAGGATCCCTGCTTGCAAGACCTCTACACCCTCAACCCCAACATGCTAAAGCCCCGAAGACGACTCATTTATTGAACGCCCTACCCTGAGCCACTTTTCCTGATGTCGAGCGAAGGCCCAACGCTTTGCCCGGGAGCAGATTACTGGGCCCGACCATGGGCTACTACCTCCATGCCCGCTTCCTGAGCGGGCCTGGGGAAGATGACAGGTTAGGGTTTGAGGAAGCCTTACCTTTGGTTAGTAGGGAATGGAAGAATGGTAGTCATAGTAGTTCTAATTGTACCCCATTCCTCCATTCCCTACTAACCAAAGGTAAGAAGCTTCAAGTTTGACTCAAGCCCTTCACCCCTGTTTCCCATAACCCAAGTTCCCCGTAAAATCCGTTTAAGAAACCATTTTGCCATTAAGTCAAAACGTTTGACATAGTTCAAGACATTGAGCTTCAGGCCCGGGGGTTCTCAGCTTCTGGCTCTGATTCTTGCTTCGGTCGTGGCGTGGTGCGTCGAAAGCCGGGGGCAGGGATTCGAGTCCTCCGGGGCAGGGTTTTTGAGTCGCACTGTGGAAGTTGAGGGCCCTAAAACATCCATATGAGGGTGTATAATAAGAACCTGCAACAATGTAGGTAATGGTAGTTTAGGTTACTTGCCCTACACCCCCCCTGAAAACCCCCCTGAGCTTTAGACGTGTGAATGAGGTGCTTCACTGCAGGGATCACAGCAACCAGGACCTGGCACCCATGCTCAGAAAGGAACCCTAATGTAAGAATCTCAAGAAATTGAGTAGGCCTTTGAGGGTGTGTTATAGTATGGGCCTGGGTATATTGGGGAAGCCTTTGGAATGGAATTAATATAGACCACTGGCTGATCGAGCCCCATTCTTGAAGGGGTTTAAGGACTATCCAAGCCCCTCTTCTGCTGTAATCCTTGTTATGGGAAGGGTTCCTTCATCAGGCCGTTAGGGGTTGAGTAGGTAACCTTTAACCTTTTGGGGCTTATATAATCCTACTATAATTCAAAAGTTAAACCTTTTTTGAGCCAGGCTACTCAGCCCTTAAGGGGATCTACATAACCTTGGTGCTTGCCAAGATGCTGAAGCTGAAGCACACAACCGCAAGCTCAATATGCACAATGCCAAATGCTCCCTCCACACGGGCTTTCATCGTAGTCTGAGTCACAGCCAGGTTCTTACTAAGGGCTTAAAGAATAGATACACTCGGCACCAGGCATCAGGATCACAGCAAGATACAACAGCAACCATCGTCTGGACTTCATCGAGTCTTCGTGTGCTGTTCATTGAGATGTCAGAATCTCTTGTTGCTTTCGTTAGGGTTCACCCTGGTCGGCATTTTCAGGGCCAGAACCTCAACTGGGTCATCGACGGCCGAGAGGCAGGACGGTGTTGTTCCTGGCTCCTTATTCGGAGGATGGGGGTCTTAGTAAAGATATAAGTACCGCATTTTGGTGCGCACAAGCAATTGTAGCTATGGTTCACCTGGTTGTATCCTTATTAACTATGTTCCATCATCTTTCAAGCATTCAAACAATGTAAAGCTCTGAGCGATAAGTACTAACAGCCAGTTTCAATCCCTGTACAGCCATATCAAAGCCCTCGTCTAAAACCCGAAACCGGCAAACTGCTGCCCTCTAAGAAAACCCTTGGAGACGTCACCGAAGCGAGTGTGAGCTCGGCCTCTTTGGAGACACCCAAACACAAGGAGCCCAGATTGGGATTCACAGAAGGCTCAGGGTTCCTTTAAGGGTTCCTGTAAGGATTCCTTTAAGGGTTCACTGGAGGGTTACTCGAAGGGTTCCTTGAAGGGTGTAAGGGTTCCTGTAAGGGTTCCTTGAAGAGTTTTATACGGGTTGAGGGTTTAATGGCTTCAGGGTTTTAATGTCCAGGATCAGCTTGAAGGATTTACCAGAGTCATCCCTTAGGTCCTTGTTGTTATGACTATACGATGGTACACGGGATTTAGGGTTCTTACCTTGGTTTGCGGTTGTTTAGGGCGAAGGGTTCGGAAGTCTTCCCTAGACCCCAAGCCCTAAAGCGATTTGCGCATAGATTCTCCAGCAAGTCAGGTGACACTGCCGGCAGTGGACGATGCAGCATGGAGCTCAAGACAGGGACCAAACACAAGGAGTTGCACTGATGCACAGCATAACTGGGCAATGCCTGCACTGCACCTGATTTGAACACAACCCACACAAAACTCTGGAAGGAACCAAAAAGCAGAACAGCACACATAAAGACTCCTACCGTCGTGATCTTCGGGTACAGGCACAAGTTTACTTTCTGGTCCCAAAGACATTGTACTTGTTTAAGCCGCTTCTGAAAGGTAGGCTCAAAGCGTTTTCGAAGCCTCGAACCCCGCTGAGATCAGCTCCCTTGTGCCGTCCAGCAGCGCGAAGCAGCAGATTCGAAGCTCTAAGGAGCTTCTACGGTTTTGGGTTATAGGTGTTGGGCTTAGGGCCATGGCTATAGTTCCTACATAAATCCAGTAGAATGTACCCCGAAACCCCATTCTAGCTGTTAGGGCCCTTGCTTGTCGTAGGGTTCGAGGGCTTTACGTTACGTTTTGGTGGGGACATTGTCTATGTTTAGGGTTGAATACAGTTCAGGGTTTAGGGTCGTGTAGGGGTGGGTTCCGCGATTTGCGTTCGGCTGTAAAGGCAGTTGAAAGTCCAACGGGCTCCGGGGCCTAAGATGGTGGGCACTGGGGGTCTCCGCGTGTCAGGTTTTCATACATGTCTTCTGAGGGGCTTGAGTGATGTTTGCGAGGGTGTACAAGGGTGTTTTACTAGGATGCCTAGTATATTCCTTTTTTGTAGTCCTAGGTTCCTTATAAAGTTACCCAATACCAAAAAGAGAGGCCTTTTTATTCTTAGGTTACTGGGTATCCTAGTTTAAGACTCTCGCAAACTGTTTCGAGGATCTTCTAAGGGTTCTATGCGTTCTTTCTGTAAACGATTTGTGGGACACTGGGTGTGAAGGGTTGGAGTCTTGCCCACATACAGGCTCAGCAATCAGACTGAACCCCGGAGCTCAAATCAAGGAATTTTTGTTTTTACTTTCGTGAGTGCAAGGCAGAACAAGACCCTGGAGGCTTTGTCAATCACACATGACAGTTCCCTGAGCCAAAGACAACGTAAAGCTCCACAAGAATTTTATAAGACATAAGACCGGTTCAAAGCGCTGAAGCAAGACCCCTGCGTCCCAACCCTGAACCCCAGACCCTACACCCAAAGCCTTTAAACCCTAGGATTTAGGGCTTAGGAAGCCCGAAACCAAACCCTTACCCATAAACCCCAAACCCTACAAACCCCACACCCTAAACCCTCTCGAACCCTTCTAATTTCAGGTCCCTTATAGATCCCTTCTAGAAGCCCATTTTGGAGCCTTAAACAAAGCCTTAAACCCGAAACCCCCAAACCCTAAAACCCTAAAGCCCTAGACCCTAAACCCCTAAACCCTAAACCCTAAACCCCTGCGCCCCCGAGCGCGCCCAAACTGCCTGGAGGACGCTTTGGCGCATGCCAGGGACCAGGGCCAGCCGGGCGACAAGTACGAGGCGCCGCGGTCCTGGAAGAAGTCCAGAGAGCCCAATACCCCTTAATTAAGGAATATACCTTAAATTATAGTAGGATGCTTAATATGATTTAAGGAATATTCCAAAAATTTTGGGGTATTGGGCTCTCTGGGAAGTCATGGTCATCGTCCTGGTCTCGCCGCAGTTGCATTCACGGGGGTAGTTTGGTGGTGATGGTTAGCAGTAGTAGGTGTAGTCTTCGTCGTCGTCGCAGCCGCAGCCACAGCAGCAGGAGTACGAGTAGCAGTAGCAGTAGCAGCAGTAGTAGCAGTAGTAGCAGTAGTAGCAGCAGCAGCAGTAGTAGTAGTAGTAGCAGTAGTAGTAGTAGTAGTAGTAGTAGTAGTAGTAGCAGTACGTAGTACGAGTAGTACGAGCAGCACGAGTAGTACGAGCAGTACCAGCAGCACCAGTAGTACCAGTACTAGTACTTGTAGTAGCTCGAACAAGTGAGTGCACTTCTGCGCAGGTGAAGCTCTTCATCTCTGGCAAGTACCGGGCTGTGACGTGGTCCAAGATGACATGAACACACGTCCCACGCCCTCTCAGATCACAGCAGCACAACCAATTCAAACAGCCCTTCTTCAGTTCTTCCCAAAAACACCCCTGCCCAGGCAGCCGCGACGATAGATACGCCGTAAATGGCAGCATCCTCCTTACAAAGATGTTAAAACGACCCTCGTATTCAGAAGCCCCCGGTTCGTCTCAGCATCCAGCCCTTCACCCTGCGGCTGGGAAAATGGAGCTCCTGCGAGAAGTACTGCAATGGGCAACATGCTAGCTTCATGAGGGGAGTGCTAGATTTTTTGCAGGGTATGGTCTAACGTGTATGTTTTTGTGTACACATACATGTACACACACGAATGCATGCCTTCTTATCCAGTGAGTCGTGTATTTACTTGCATCATGCCTTGACTTGCTTGTTCTCAGCTATGCATCTTACAGTGTCTTGAGAAGTGCTGCATCTGTTTCATGCTCGCTTGCACATGTATACTTTAGGCTTAACACGTTGGGTTGCAGAGGTCAAAAGCAAGTGGCACACATGCGTGCAATGCCCAAGCCAGAGTCCACTTGCACGTTGGCTCAAGCAAATCATGACACTGATATTCCTGGGCTGACATTCCTCCAGCTGACATAAACGACATCCTGCATTTCTTCAGGCAACAAACAGACTAGTTCTGGCAGTCCCAACTAGGCTCCTGGCCATTGCAGTCGTCATTGAGTCCAGCTGTCCCGCCATGGGAAAAGCTGTGGCAACTTGTATTCTGAAGTTGCAGCACGTATGTCGCTTATGCGTGCTAGCCGCGGTGCACCCTAAACCCCTGGGCCTAACTCCTAAGCCCTAGAATGAGCACCCGACGTTGCCAAGGCAATGAAGAAAAAAAAGGTGCTCAGCAAGAGCGGGGCAATCTCTGAGAAAGAGGCTTCCGGAGCTGCTGAGCCCGCGGCAAAGAGACCGCCGATGAAAAAGCTGAAGAGAAAGAAGAAGAAGGCTGCGAAGGCACGGCGGACTTGGCTTTGATTCAAATCTCGTAGACTCATAGTCTAGATTGGGCACATTTCTCGGCCTTCATGCGAACGAAGGATTGCAAAAAGGGCTTGAACTGTTACCAATACTCTTGCTTTCTTGGGATTAAGATCACGAAGAAAAATAAAGATACATCCGAAAGCCTTTTTTCATTCATCACGGCCCGGGGATTGTGACTTCAAGTGGCCATTCTAGTTTCAGGTCGTCAGAGAATCCTGGCTTGCCACAGGGGTCGGAATGTTTGCTAAGATTGCTCCTCTATAGTCCCGATAGCACGATATGAAGTACATATATATATATATATATATATATATATATACTACAGCAATGAAGAGCCCAGAAACCCTTTCTAAGTACAAGGGCTAGTCGATTCTGTTTTTGGATGTGCTTGCCATCGCGGGATCACTGTGATCCTGAACTTCTGAAAGCAGGCCTCGTAGGCAACACTTATGCAGAGCGCAACCTCAACGCTGGCACAAGTGAAGGAAGCGTTAGGTTTAGGGGTTTAGGAGCTTAGGGTGATCATGCAAAGCTAAAGTAAACTGCTACATAGCACGATAAACTTCAAAAAAATGTACTAGACTATAATGTAAACGGCTCAATGCATGACCGGATAGAACGGCTTATCGATGTGTTTGTTGGCTTTCGTTCTCAGCAGAATCCTCTCTGTCCCCAACAACCCTTGATGCTTGTGAATGCACCGATGGGGTTGAAGCCCAGGACCCTAAACAAGCCATACTCCTTAATTAAGGGTTATTAGAATCCCCTAAACCCTAAGCCTATAGATCCCTTATAGATCCCTTAAAGGAACCCTAGGCATTCCTTAATTAAGGGGATTTTAGGGGCTCTCCGGGCTGGAAAGGGCTCTAGATCCACCGGACTTATGTTTTGTTCAATAGCGTCCTCGCATCTGAAGTCATGCGAAACCGATCCAGCGTGAGCCCCGGTTTAGGGTTTAGGGTTTAGGGCTGCTTTCCATTCCATGCAGAACATGCTTCGGGTTTACAGTTTAGGGATTTCGGTTTTGGACTTTCGGTGGTTAGGGGTTCAGGGGAGAGGGTGTTGAGGCTGCTGGTACCTATCGAACAGCCATCCTCGAAGTGTCACACAGCACGGCAAGATGCAGTGCCGCATCAAACGCAGTGCCACGGTTGGGCTGCGCTTCTCGGTACGTTGGTGTTTAAGCTTAAACCTGCTCTGGAGACATCCTCGCTTGGTTGGGTACACAAAGGTGCCCAGGTCTCCTTCGCGTCCATTCAATCCGCAACGGAAGTTCGGGGGCGAAGGTGACCTTCTTGTGCGAACAGTCCGCCCTCCCCCCCAGCACCCCGAAACTGTCAGATCCTGCATGGCGATCGGAAGCGTTTCGAGGTTTTCAGGGCTTCCACCTTTGCTATAGGGGCCTTCATAGTTACCAATACTATTTTGGGGGTTGTTTATTATAATTATAGTAGAATGGGCCGCAAGACCTGTTCGACTCATTAGTTGCGGTTCGAGGCTTTGCAGTAGAGCGGAACCAGACCCCTCACGCAAATCAGGACATGGCCCATATCTTCGCCATAGCGCGCACGCAGACCCTAGACCCCAACCCCAGACGCTGCATCAAAGCCAAACAACGCGAAGGCTAGCGAGCCGGCAAAGAGCACTGCAAACGCTGAGCCAGAAGAGAGCCTTTGACCAGCCCTGGGTTTAGGGCTGAGGGCGTAGAGTCTAGACGCACAGGGTGTTTTAGGGTTTTGAGTTTACGGATTCTGGGTTATCGGTCATGGGTTTTACGTTTGATGTTATGTTTGTGATGACGTGCCTCTTGCTCGATGAAACTGACAACAAGCAGTGCGGTGACCGGAGCCGCATATTCTGATTGCGTTGTTGTCTCAATTAATTGCTCCTCGGCTTGTGCTTCTGAAGCTGATGCTGGTCCTCCTACCATTACAACTGCGACAGTTGTGGGGCTTGCTGCTACTTCTCTTTAGATTCCGTGCCGCCCATTATGCGATCTGACTCTTGCTTTGGACAGCATCCACTGCTTGAAGGATGCCATGTTCAACCCTAGAATTATAAATCCGTGAACCCTGAACAATATAAGAAGGAACCCTAGGGAATGATGCTGTAAATTTTGAGGCTCCTACATTCAGCCCGAAAGTTACAGATCCTACACTCCAAGCGATGAGAACCCTAAGCACTATCCTCTTCACAGAACCTAGCACTAAACCCCAAACTCCAAAATCCCCTTAACCCTAAACCCCTAAACCCTAAACTGCCGAGAGCGCCGCTGACCATTTGCATGGGCGCTCGAGGCTTTGACTGAGGGCCCGGGCCAAGCGTCCCGTCAGAACGGTCCTGCCCAGGGCCTTTGAGGGGGCCTGCCAGGCGCCTCGCCCTGCCCGCCCTGCGCTCTGTTGTTCACACTTCGAGCAGCCCTGGGCGCGAGGGCCAAGTTGTTTGTTGGAAACCCTTGCTGTTCGCGAGCGGCCGGCAGAGGCCACGAGGACCCGCAACAGCTGTGGTTTCTTGTCGTTTAGTGGCTGGTGCCCTGACCTACTCCTTGCCCGCCCTGCCTTGTTCACACTTCGAGCAGCCCTTAGGGGGGGAGAACCAAGTTGTTTGTTGGAAACCCTTGCTTCTCGTCGAGCGGCAGGCACAGGCCGCGAGGACCCACAACCCGACAGCAATCCAGTGATTTCGTGAGAAATATAGTTGTTTACGTGTCGAGCTGCGAAAGGAAGCAGAGAGGAAGAAAGCCCCCCTTGAGGGGGTTTTGGGGGGTGAACCCTAAACCCTAATTGAGAGTAGTTGGGGTGGGTGGGGCGGACCCCAATCCCCTAAACCCCAAACCCATAAAACCTTAAACCGTAAACCCCTAAACCCTTAAGGCTCTGAAGATTCGTGTTAGAGCCCTCATAGATCCTTGTGATCCTTTAGAAAATCACCCCACAGGAACCTCCTTACAAAAACCCTTGCAAGCAAGCCTAGCGGCCCGACCCCGAAATCCCAAAATCCCGAAACCCAGCAAGCTTAAGATTCCTGAAATATAGGGGCCTAGATAAACCCGTAAGCCCTAAACCTTAAACCCCTAAACCCTAAAGCCTCAACCGAGCCCGTCGGCCCTGGATTGAAATTTTCGACCCCCCCTTCAAAAAGAATGGAAGAGTTGTTGTTGACAGCTCAGGCAGCCAGTAGGGGCCTAAATAATTTCCTATGCTATTTGGGGGCTCCTCATTATAATTGTAGAAGAATATACCCAAAACCTTACTCTAATTGTTAAGGCAGGCCCCTACATAAAACACCAACAAGCCCTATAATCCTATAGCTATATAGTAAACCCACCTCTTCAACCGAGCAAAGACATTGAACACTAGCATTACTAGTAGTTCTAAATTTAACAAACGCACTAATAATACTAAATGATTTTCATGACAAAAGAGTTCCGAATAGCAATGCCAAAACAACTAGTAAGAGTAGTGGTAGCAAATAAAGCATCTAAGAGCAACATCATTACGAGTAGGAGTCCTTTGTAAGGAAGCCCATTTCCTGCGCGATGTGCGACGGGCTGATGCCCTTGGAAGGCAAAATGCGTTTCTCGGCTCGGAGTGGTCAGAACTGTTCGAGTTTTTTTGCGTTTAAAGGTGTGTTTTATGAGGGGTCTACAAATTTGCAAGAAAGCACTCTTGGACTTTTTATTCTACGGTTTAGGTCGGTTTGTGCTGTTTTTTTTACAGCGGTGGTCTTCGGGGCGTTTGCGTTTCCTGCCCTGGGTTCAGTGTGAAGGTTTATAGCTGTAGAGCTTCAGAGCTTCAGGATTTGATCGTGAGGGTTTCACGAATCGCCAAGACACCCCAGGATCGTATATTTCGAGTATCCGATCGCCAATAGGGAGGATTCCAGAGCTTCTCCTGAGATTCTGCAGCCAGGAAACCGAAACCGCCAACCTGACACCCTAAAAGCCCGAAGCTTAATGCCCGAAACTCTACCCTACAAACTCTTCCAAACTGTAAATCTGAAAGCTTTATCCTAGAGCCCCCCACCACCTTCTAATGCACCCCAAAGACCCCTGTTAAGGGTCCAGAAGGGCTCTATTAAAGGGCTCTTTGGGGAGTCATTCATAAACCCGAACCTGTAAACTCTAAACTCTGAACCCAAACCCAAACCTGTATCCCGAAACGGCTCACTACACCGGCACAGCATTTGTATGAAAGAAGCGGAGTCACAGGAGCGATTATTGGGGGTTTCAAAGGCTGTTTAAGGGTGGAGGGTTTATGGTTTAGGGGGTTCAGGCGTTTAGGGGTTAGGGTTTAGGTTTTGGGGGTTTACCAGTGAGACTAATATATTGAATGGTGGAGTGCCTGCGGAGTTCGAAGAGCAGATCAGCGTGGGGTTCAGCTCAAAACCCTGAGCCCTGGACTCTGCTTTAAGAGCTGGTAGGAGCCACGAGCCCGAACGCGTTTTTGCTTCGGCTTGCCGCAATCCGACTCCACATTCCAGGACGTTCGCAAAACTCGTGAACGTTTGCAAATGCTTGTGAATGGCTGTAAACACTTACTGTCGCTGCCCGGTCGTCAGCTCGCTAATGCACAGACCTCAACACCTTCAAACGAGAACCCTTCTGCCACGCGTTCGGTGAAAACCGAAACCCTGGACACAACGAGCACAAAGGTGGGACGAAGGTGGGTAGGATGAAGGATCCCTGTAGGAGCCGTTTGAAGCCCTCACCCAGGATGTCGCGGATGTGGCAGAATCATGCTGCCGGAAGCCGAAGCATCGTGAGCCGTGGGAGAACTTGGAAAAATTTTCTCGCACTTTAACCATAAGCCCTAAACCTCTAAACCCGAACCCTAAGCTTCTAAACTTTCAACCTGCGCCTACAGGCCTGAAATCCTCTGGCTTAAAGAGCTCGTGTTTAGACCGGGTAACCATAGAATCTGGACGCTTATACAACAGCTTGAGACCCCCTAAACGCCAAAATCCTAAACACCGAAGCCCAAAGCCACAAATCTCCAAGTCCGACCCCCTGCAGCCCAAAGTCCTCGGGTTCCCGACCCAGAGACTCCAATATCCTTAAATCATATTAAGGATCCTACTATAATTTAAGGTATATTCCTTAATTAAGGGATATTGGGGTCCCTGGGAAGAGGGCAGGCTCGTGTCCGCTACTGAGGCCTGATGAAGGTAGTTCTCCAAATTGGATGCCTTTTTGGGCTCCTTTTTATACGGGTGCCGTACTGTTTTGGGGACCCCAAAAGGGTGAGATTAATGTTGAGAATTACAGGCTGCCCCAGGCAGCGGGTCCTCGGCTTGGTTCTTCGGGTTTGGGATCCTGTTTACAAATAGCACTTCTGGCAAGCACAAGCCAACCACAGAGCATTAGCGCAACAGAGGAGCAAAGGTTTTCAGCTTGGTATTCTGAGGGGCTGCGCGTTCGTTGATGTAGTATAGCAAACATTAAGGCCTCTATGTTAGACCTGTGTCTCGTGAAGATGTCCAGTCAAGGGCTTCCGCGGTTTTTGTCTTCCGATTGACTTAAGCTGTGTGTGGCTTGGCTGCGGCAAGTGACAATCCAACAACCTTGTATTCCTTAAGCCACAATATGTTCGAGCTTTAACATTTTAAGTAACACTTATCAGGGTCGGAACAAGTTGTAATATCATTCCAGTGGCGTCCATCAGACCCTATCAGCGCCCTATATTATTGCACATTTTGAGCATGTCAAACTCAGCTACTCGAATACATGGAGCACAGGTTGGTGCCGTCACAAGTACATCGAGCAGAAGAAAGACTAATGATTGGTTTAGGGTTTGGCCTTACGTTTTCGAGTTTGGGGTCTGGGTTAAGCGTGAAAGCACAGCGTGCCGACTTTCTGCTAGTGCCGGAAGTAGAAATAAAGCTGGTTTTCGAAGTCGGACACATTTTCTGAAAAGACAAAGCACCAACAAGGACACGGCAGTCAATCAACAACAAAACGGTATGTACTTTTCGAAGTGCTTGCACGCATTCCCCTCAGCCCGACGGCAAGACCCTAAGCCTAAACCTTTAACTGGAACCGCAACCCCGAACACTAAACCCTAAACCGAAACCAGAACCCAGGTCCGTCGCTGCAGATCGCTCATGATACTGTTCTGGCTCGCAGATCCTGTTTGCCCCAGGCCCTTATATAGCCGCTAGACTCAGGGTATTTAAGCGTGACATCACAGTAACATAGGGCTCGGAATGATTGGAAATTGCTTCTTACATGAAGACCCCATGTTCACAAAAAGCAGAGTGGATTTAAGTTCTTTCGGGTTACAGTTGGATTTCGGTACAGACTAGGATGCCTAGTAGTACCCTTATTCCTTTTTTGTAGTCCTAGGTTCCTTATAAAGTTACCCAATACCAAAAAGAGAGGCCTTTTTCTTCTTAAGTTAGTGGGTATCCTAGCAGAAGTCAACACTCAGAACTTGGGGGTTGAGGATTTTGGGTTTCTTATGTGAGATTCGGGGCTCATGGCTTTGAGAGGGTTTAAGGTTGACTCACTTGGTGGTGATGTATTTCAACTGGAGCGTCATGTACTACGTCCCTGGCCAGTAGTGGTAGCTACGGCTTCCTGAGTCGATACTACGTCCTTTTCCGTACCATGGGCAGATCCTACCTTTAAAGTAAAGCTGGGCTGTTCGCTTAGACCTCGCAGCTCTCACTGATGGATCCTGGGCTGCGCCACGAAAAATGTACAGAGAAGTTCGGCGCCTACTGCAATCAGGCGGTTTCGGACTGATCGATTGCTTGGATGGCCTGGCAAAGCGATGGCAGAGTGAAGGCAAAGTCTTGGGGAGGTCACAAAAGGGGTCCGGATGATTACCTGTACTATTTTGAGGGTTCCTTGCTATCACGATAGTATAGTGGGCCCAAACGCCGATTCTGATTATTTAAGGCCCCTACCTTAGGGATGCCTGGTTAAAGGGTAACGATCCTAGCATTAGGGGGTTTGTATTAGAGTTCCCTCCTTTCTGAAAGGCCATCATTTCTGGGCCGAGAAGGCTTTCCGTGGAACCTTGCTGCTAGGTAGGCCTCTGGGATATTTTATATTTTCCCTTGTTGGGCTTAGAAGGACCCTAAACCCTAAACCTAACCTGCAAGTCGGAAAAGAGGCGCTTAAAAAAAATAAACCTACGAAGATTTTTCAGAGGCTTTGAAGGGCCAACCTAGGCTGGTGAGGAAGGCTCTTCTTCCGTCCGAGCACCCGGAGGTTTCGAGAAGCCTCCAGAACCTTAGGGGTACTTAGAAATAGTTTTTAATTTTTGGTTATTATAATCCCTAAGAAACGGCTAAAGTTATCATTTTGCTATGGTTCTAAGTTCAGTACAGGAACCTGGCAGCAGTGCTGCAGAGACGTGGAAGCGTCTTGGTAGGATATAGCAACGACTATTTGGGTGGTTGTCAAAGTTAGGGTCCCTTTTGGGGTCCTTACTACAACACGGCACCCAACACCCAGGATACCCAGAAAGGGACCATAATTTTGAGAACCACCCATTTGGAGGTTCATGGGCAGTTTTATGTAGGGTTATAAGTAGGATAACTATATCTAAAACCTAAGTTAGGGCACAGGACACTCCACAAAGAACTACCCATGCACCTCCAAGTAGTACCAGGCTGGGGATACTTTTCGTGAGGGGTTGAGGAGTATTGGTTAAGGGTTGAGGAAGCCCCATGTAGAGATTCGGGTCTCGCTAGGTTGCGGTCTGGGCTCCTTGTCAATTTTCCTCGGGTTCCTATAGAGTTACCTGTTCATAAACAACCTTTTTGGGAACCATAAAGCTGCAAGCCTAAACCCTGAACCAAAAAACTGCTGTTAACCCGTAAAGCTGCAATCCAGGTTTGGCCCAGGCAGAGAACTTGTATCGGCAGGTGTTGGCTGCGCGCAGTGGCAGGTTGGGCGCGGAGCACCCTCTGACCCTCTCAGCGTTTAGGGAGCTGTCTGCGTAGGGGTTTAGGGGCTTTTGGGTTTATTATAGGGGCCTCAATAATTTCCTATACTATTTTCGGACGTTCCTTGTTATAGTTTTAGTAAAATGGACACCAAAACCCTATTAAATCTATTAAGGCCCCCGTATTAGGGCATCGGGTCATCATGTCCTGAAGCTGAAGGACCCTCTCAAGCTTGGACAACCTGGGGACTGTTTTGCAGGGCCAGGACAAAGGCGGAGAAGCTGTAACTGCGTTCCTCTTGAGGAATGTAATTTTGAGTTACCATAATAATAAATGCGTTTTTCTTGAGGAGTTTAATTTGAGTTACCATAACAAAGTAACCATATCCATAAACTACACATCCCTTTTTATGGAACTTAAGTTAAATTCCTTCACCAGCACCCAGGTAAGCGTACATCGGCAGGCCATGAAAGGCTTGAAAAAGGTTCTGGGAGCAGGCCATCTGGTCACCCTCGCTTGCATGAGCAATCTGGCCGTAGCTCTCCAAAGTCAAGATGAGCGGCCCAGTTCTCCAATATGGGAGTCTCCGAGAATTAGGGATGCCTTAATTGGGGGTCCTTGTAATGAGGATCCTACTATTTAGGGTACTATATTGGGGTCCCCTTTGCGGGTCTACGATACTCTGAAAGTTCTTAGTGCCTGACGGAAAGTTTAAGTGTTCAATTGTTTCCTGTGGCCTTTTGGAGAAGTACTTGGAGGGTCGGGGGACTTAGTAAGTAGTTATTATATAGACTTATAAGTACCTTAATAGGGACCCTAATTGGGGTTATGGTGCTTATAACTCTCTAAAATAACTACATACTAATCCCCCGACCCTCCAAGTAAGGTGGTTGGAGGCTACAGAATTGCATCATCAGGTCTTACTAGGCCGACGACTCATCTTGGGAGACTCAGTCCGCCAATTACGAAAGTTTTCGTTTGATCAGAATTCTTTTCGAAAGTTCTTACAACTTGCCAGTATTTTGAACCTCTCATCGAATTTCGGAAGATTCAGAACTCATCCGTATTCCAGATCACTTTTTGTGGGTTGCTAAAGCTTAGTACCATTCTGAAAGTTCGCCTGACCCTAAACCATACCCTGAACCCCTAGAATCCCTATTTCCTGGCCTTGAAGAGTCAGGAGCAGGCCACATCTCCAGCCAGGCCAGTCTCAGCAACTGGACCAAGGCGCTGAAGCCAAATTGAGGTTTAGGGTTGAAGTTTAGGGTTTAGAGTTTGGGGTTTAGGGTTGGGGGTTTAGGGGCTTAGGTTTAGGGGTTTGGGGTTTGGGGTTCAGGCTTTAGGGGTTGGGGCGTTTTGGATTTAGGGGATTAGGGCGTTGGATTTGTTCAGACAAGAAGGATACTGCTATATGCGCTATAATTCGTTATAACTATGGCTATCTTACTTATAGCCCCCTACTTATAACTACCCGTGAACCTCCAAGTAGACCCTAAACCCTTATAGATTCCCTGGAGATCCCTGTAAAGGGACCCTTTAAAGGAACCCTTACAACCACCCATGAACCTCCAAGTACCTTTATGAAAAGCTCAAGGCTTTCAAATACCCATGAACCCTAAACCCGATACCCCTATAGAATCCCTATAGATCCCTTTAAAGGACCCCTATAAACCCCTACCCTCATAGAGAATCCCTAAAGATCCCTTTAAAGGACCCCTATAAACCCCTACCTTCATAGAAGCCCAGGGCTTTGAAAGCCCTGCAAAGGCCCTGGGCAACTTGGAGACTATGCTCGGGTCCCATCATCCAGATTTTCTCAGATGCCAGGCCCTGGGAGATATGGGTCTTTTAAAGGGGTTTAGGGTTTA